TCAAGAGTGCATAATAGATCTCTATTATGCACTCTTGATATTAGTATGTATAGACCCGCTGTAAACTCTCGCACATGCACGATGCACGCACACACCTATATAAAGATGGTATGCACGCGCGCGTGCACATGTGTGTTTGTGTTTGCGTGTGTGTGCTTTTTTTATTTGATATATATCACAATTAAATGACAAAAAAAAAAATATATATATGTAGTAAAAAAGTATGTAATATCAGTAATAAGTATGTAGTATGTAATAAAATAACTATTTAAATACTAACATGTAAACCAAAAAATATTATCAGTAATTGATAAATGAATAACAAATATTATTAAAAAATATTTATAAAAACATATAAATATGTAATTATGTGAATAAATATATAAAAAGTAAACATGTATGTAAATAATGTAGGAAGTGATGTAGCAATGTAGTAAATAAGTATGTAGTATGTAAATAAATAACTATTTAAATACTAACATGTAAACATCTAAATAAACAAATGAATGAATGAATGAATGAATAAATTATTGAATGAATTTTATATCACAAAAATGTGTGATATGTGACACAATTATGTCACATTCATTCTGTGATTACAATATCTCTTGGTGTTGATAAGAAATTCCAAATGTCTCAAGATATGAGGACTGTACGAGGAGTATAGTTTTGTACTTGCGAGTGCGTCTAGTGGGGTTGAGTTGGAAGCGTATGTAACATATAATATCAGCCGCACATACGTGACCTTGAGTGGTGCACGAGCGTTCCTCATGTGACGTGAACGCCAGGTATGCGAGCCAGCAGGAAGGTAGCCGCGTGGTAGCGAGACGGCCGGACGTGTGTGAAGACGTGCTGCTAGATTGCACAGCAAGGCGGTTGACGGAGGTGTTATTAATGACGACATAATGGAATAAAATAAGTAATTAATAAATAATGAATAAATTTCTGAATGAATATATAAACAAATTTATAATTTAATATTAAATGAAAAAGTAACCAATATTTATAAGATAGACAACCCGCCGGCTTGGTTATACATACGAGCGGTAACTAAGGCAAATGTCGTTCGTACAAAGCAGTCAATAATGTTCAGTGTTTACATGCAGGAATTGATACGTTTGTTAATGTACGACGAGGACTAAAATATGCGCACAAAGGAATACAACGCGACAGCCGCACGCACACAGCACGCACACAGCGAGACAGAGGATCATCGACAGACACAAATCACGATAGACACACACACACACACACACACCACACACACACACCACACACACGCACGCAACACGCACACGCACACCACACACACACACATACAACATCACACGCAATACACACATACACGCATACACACATCACACAGCACACATACACACCATACACACATACAACACCAATACACCACATACATACAGAATTACACCAACATACCACGCATACAACGCATACCACACACACAAACACACACACACACACACACAACACACACACACACACAACACGCAATACACATACACACATACACGCATACATCACATATACCACACACACACACTAGCACACACAGCATACCACATACGCACATACGCACATAACACACACACGCACACACATTCTACACACACACACACACACAAAGGCGCGCAACACCGCTTTGTGTCTACACAGACACAGCACCGCACGCTCGCACCCACGTATGCATGCACGTACACATGCAGTACCATTATTTAATGACAGTTATTACTAAACCCCCAAACACTCAATGTTTCTTTGTTTTATTACTTATACACTATCTGTAACAATTGCGCTAACCACATACAATATCATGAGATAAGGTTTGACTTTTTTTATATTGAGGTACAGCTATATTGAGGTATATTGCTACCGCGGAATTTGATGTTTCATTATTTCTTGCATGTCTCGTTGCCCGCCGTTTGCTTTCTAGTTCTCGTCTGTTACCTTATTTTCTGATTCACCACTAACCAGCGCCATCTAAAAAAATAAGGACAGTTCCATGCGGTAGATGTTCACACGACGGTAACTTAAACCACATCGTGCGTTTGTTCACTGCGGATTTTTGTTGTATGTTGTATTGTAGTATATCGCAGTCACCGCATTTACCGAGTCACGGCATCAGAAAAATACATCGATAACCATGACAGACAAGCTACAGATGGAGTGATACAGCCGAGGTAAAAGAAATGTAGCGTATTAGCATACGAATAACAGAATAATTTGGAGTATTTAACACAATATACGAATGTGATTGGATTAAACGTTCTAGAAAGAATTAGCAATATGACACAGGAATGGAACATTACGTTCTTGAACAAATAGAGTAAATCGGACCAATATTATAACAATGTGTGTACATGCTGCTACAAATATTGTTTATAGAAAATTGTTCACCCATTTCCGTTCAGCTGTTGCAGAAAATGTCGACCGCGAGAATGTGATGTACTTTGAATTTTATCACGGATTGGCTCTAATAAGACCTGCTGTACACAGATCTTACAGTAAGTTCGTGAGTTGTAGTTGTCATGAGATGTTGTAGCTCCTTCATGCCAGCTACGGGACTACTTGCTGGAGCTAGTTTGTACACAGGTTTAGCGTGAATCAAAAACATCTTTACTGGAGATATTTTTGTACAGGTTTGGTGAGGTGAGATATCGTAGCCTGTGGAGAACAGGACATCATCACCAGTAGTTATTACCCACAGAAGACGCAGGAAGAATATTAAGTATGTATAGATATAAGTAGTTGGCACACACACACACACACACACACACACATGCATACGCACATACGCACATACGCACATACGCACATACACGCACACATACACACGCATATATACACACATGCACACGCACGCACGCGCACACGGACACATGCACGCACGCTCGCACCCACGTATGCATGCACGTACACATGCAGTACAATTATTTAATGACAGTTATTACTAAACCCCCAAACACTCCATGTTTCTGTGTTTTATGAGTTATACACTATCTGTAACAATTTCGCTAACCACATACAATATCATGAGGTAAGGTTTTACTTTTGTACAGGTTTGGTGAGGTGAGATATCGTAGCCTGTGGAGAACAGGACATCATCAACAGTAGTTATTACCCACAGAAGACGCAGGAAGAATATTAAGTATGTATAGATATAAGTAGTTGGCATTTATACATGCACGTACATACACGTGCTTTCATACGCACAGACAGACGTTCACGCGCACGCATTCACACACATGCGGCCCACTCATACATCTACGTACACCCACACAGTACCTGGCATTATTTGAGAATTGATGTGAAACTCACAAGTTTACACATAATATGTTTCTGTAATTTATGTATTAAATGCTATCTCTGAGACTTACACCGAAATACATTATCTTGAGGTAGGAATTATTGATTTATACTGAGGTAAATTCAATCACCGTATATTTCTAGTTATTACCTCCGCCAAGTGGTTGGCAGGAGGTTATGTTTTCACCGGCGTGTGTTTGTTGGTTTGTGGGTTTGTGCGTTTGTTTGTTTGTGTACAGCCTAACTGAAAAAGTTATGGACGGATTGTCATAAAATTTTCAGGATAGGTCAGAAATGGGCTAACTTAGAATTGATTAGATTTTGGTGGTGATCCGGGTCCTTAATTAATTAATTAATAAAATTTTCAGGATAGGTCAGAAATGGTGTAACTTAGAATTGATTACATTTTGGTGGTGATCCGGATCCAATTAATTAATTAATTAATTAATAAAATTTTCAGGATAGGTCAGAAATTGGGTAACTTAGAATTGATGACATTTTGGTGGTGATCCGGATCCAACACAAATACTTACATCGTCCTAAGCCATCCGGGCCATTAGCACCACAAAACAAACACCGTGCTGATGACACGTCGCGGCCGCTTCTATCTGTTGGCCGTCAAGAGAGAGCCGGGGGATAACAGCGTCGGCCTCTTCCATGTTGGCCGTCAAGAGAGCGAGCACGCTCGCCTCACATCACAATGTCATGCGCGCACAGCGTTCCCTGCTGCGCGCCTCTATAACATCAATTCCCGGCAGACCACAATGACGTGCTTAACTGTAAAACGTTGACGATTAACTACAAGTAGATGACGGGCAACACACGGAACAGGATCGACTTCGCCAGGTAACTTATATAGAAAGTGCATATGCTAACCCTTATAACCCCCCTCCTCGCTTTTTATTTTTTCGCACTCCGACCCGATCACGTGGGGACGATGCCCCTGCCTGTGGCGCCGGGAAGGCTTCTGAGTTACACACGACCAGTTGGTGGACCCTTAGCTAGACCAGTGAAAATGTGTACGAAGCCAGTGTTGTTTTCAAGGAGGGAAGAAAGAGTTAAAGCGACTCAAAAGACAGCGATGAAGCAATTTCTCACGGGGAGGGTGTTTCCCTCCACAGTAAGGTAATTTTGAAAATATTGCACAAAATGGCATTTTGCGTCATTTCATTTTTCATTATTAGGTATAGGAATATGGTATAGCCAATCCCCATTAAGGCCCTTCTCTCTTGATTTTTGTACTCTCCGATCAAAGAGGGGTCATGGCCTTCCTTGTGCCCCCCCTTAGCTACGCCTATGTCCTCAATTCAAGCACTGACGACTATTGGAATTAGTTGATTTGTGTTGTTAGCAGTCCATGCAATGTTGGCAATTTATCCGTCAAAAGCTGTTCAAAGTTCCTGATATTAAAAGTTAAAAGTTAAATTATTTTTTGAAAAGTAGAGGCATATTGAATGAATGAAATAAGATCTCACCGGGAAAAAACAGGTAGATGTGTATGGAAGTGCACCTGTAATAAACATGCAATTTATTTAAATTACAAAAGATTTACATCGTTTAGAATACAAAGCCGTTAAAAGATTCACATTAACATTTGTTCCTTAATTAAAAAATGTTTTTGCTTTGCTCTCTGATGAAGAACTAAAAAAACCATATTGAAATTTTTGATTTCAAATAAAAACAAAAGTAGCTGCCAAATAGCGCTCTATTAAAATAAAAAGGAAAATTTTAACGCCATGAAAAGAATTTTTTGCCTCCCTGATAGAGAACAGTTAACTTAAACATAGTGTTGAAATCGGATTTGAAATAAAAACCGAGGTGGATGCCAAAATGGCCGTCTATAAGTTCGAATATATTCAAAGTTATTCACAAAGCCCATTTCGATTTCTTTTCTTCTGTCAATAAGAGTTCAGAACCATAAAATTCAATCAAACCAACTTGCAACAACACAAATCTGAGCAAAGAAGAATTATCTCCTTTCTTTTAGTCATGTTTTTTTTTCTCTGCAGAAATCTCAAAATGCCAAAGTCAAGTCTTCTCGTCGATTTTGCACAGAACATTTTGAGGATTTCGTTGACATTAATGTCATTCACTAACTCCTGTTCAACGAAAAGGGAGAATGAGAGCAGAGAATCGTGGCTGTCTTGTAGAACGAAGTTTAGACTTGAGCAAGCTCATTTAGAGAATGTTCGTTCATCCGGGCAGTGCAGAATAACAGAATTGTGGCAGTCTGTGAAGACGCGTGAGAGGCAAGGAAAATTTTTTGTTTTGTTTTGTTCTGCCATCAACAGGGGGGGGGGCATGGCCCCCTTGTGGCCCCCTTAGCTACGTGCCAGTGGCGCTGGCATGTGCACGTAGAGCGTGCGGCGTGCGTGTGCACGTACACGTGCTCGTCATAAGTGTGTGCGTGCGCTGTGCACGTACACGTGCGTGCGTGGTCGTGCGTGCGTGCCGTACGTACACGTTCGTGCGTGCGTGCGTGCGTGTGCAGGTACACGTGTGTGCATGTGTGCGTGCGTGCGTGCGTGCCGTGCGTGTGCAGGTCACACGTTGTGGTGGCATGTGGCGCAGTGCGTGCGTGTGCTAAGGTACACGTGCGTGCAATGCATATGTGCACGTAGACGTGCGTGCGTGTGCGTGTGCACGTACGCGAACGTGCGTGCATGTGTGTCTTTGTGGCACGGTACACGTGCGTGCATGAGTGGGTGTGGCGTGCGTGCGTGTGCAAGTACACGTGCGTGTGTGCGTGCGTCGGCGTGCGTGTAGCGTACACTCGTCTAGTGTTGCCGCCCTATCGTGGAGTTATGTACTATTCGCTAACTCGAATTAAGCGTCGTCGTGTAAGACGAGGCTATAGTTAGGGTTAGGGTTATGTTATGATTATGGTTTAGAGTTAAGGTTGTGGTTAGCGTTGCGTTATGATTATGGTTGAAGATTAGCATTAGGATTGGGTTTTAAAAAAACCTCCCACATAATGTTATACAACAGACAGCATATACAGACATACACAGACAGTATATAGGTCCAATTTCAAGCTGGCAATGTAATTTATTCCTACCCGAGTCTATCCTTTGTCAATGCTTTGCTGCACACCTATTTTGGTTGTAACGCATAATGTTAACTGCTGCATCTAACACGACATACCTTTGTACCTCATCGCAGCTCTAGTGGTATCGATCTTTGTCCACTGGATAGTGGTTTGGCATGCACTCCTGCCGATGATTGCTATGGTTATCTACGATGGACGTGCCACTATGGAAAAATGAGTGTGCAAGTGTGTGTAGTGTCAAAACGGCGCGCATGTTGTGATGCGGTGACGAGGCGTTGTTGGGCACGGTTAATAAAAAACCAGAAGCCCGAAATATCTCGGTTTAATTTCATTTGTACAGCGTTGTGTTGTCGTCCTGTAGTCTTGGCCATCTGCTGTCACTGCTGCGATCATGCCTGATGCGGCTACAGAATCCCACCTAGACAACAACAAATCATCTCTGTAAACCAGCTCATTTTTGTTTTAGCTTAGTGTATAAGTTTAGTTTAGGTTGTGGGCTCGTAAATTTAAAGGTATGAAATTGTATTAATGTGTGAATTATTGTGTGTTGTGTGAGGGTGTAGGTGCAGCGTGCATGTACTATATACTGTGTTCTTGCATCTTAAAACGCCACACGTGAATGATTAATACACGATTCATTCAACGCTTCCCGTACTGTTCTCGTGTTTGTTGAACATCTTTCAATCCATATATATCATATTATATCAGATTAAAATTGATTGAATTGTACTGGTTACTGTGATTCGGTACTGTGTGGATGTACCGTTACACGCATGTGTGGTGCGATGTACGTGATCGTGCGTTTGCCATGCACGTGTCTGTGTTCCTGCACACTCGTGTATATAATATGCTGAAATGATCTATCTTACCATAAACCTAACGTGAGCATATGGGATTCCTGACTCTGGAACTTCTGCACCTGGTGGCGAACCTTGCCATCGTGTGTCGAAACTGTCAGCATTAGAAATAGAGCATGCTTATGAATTAAATATTAAGCCTTGTACTCAGTTAGCGTCTATACGGCGGCCTTAACTCGAGTTGCTTAAGCCTCGGCAAGTCGATCGAGTATTTAAGCTAACTCGGAGTTACCTTAACTCGAGTTAAGGCCCCGTATAGACGCTTAACTCGGAGTTAGCGAATAGTACATAACTCCAGATAGCGGCAACACTAGTACGATGTACGTACACACGCACGCCGACGCACGCACGCTAACGCACGCACGCACGCACGCACGCAACGCACGCACGCACGCACGTGTACCTTGCACACGCCACGCACACACTTATGCTCGCACGTGTACGTGCACACGCACGCATGTACGCACGTGTACTGCACACGCACGCAGGCACGCATGCACGCACGTGTAGGTACACACGCACGCACGCACGCACGCACGCACGTGTACGTGCACATGCCCGCACGCATGCACGCATGCACGCACGTCTACGTGCACACGCACGCACGCACGCACGCACGCACCGCACGCACGCACGCACGCACGCACGCACGCACGCCGGCAGCGCACGCACGCACGAACGTGTACCGGCACACGCGCGCACGCACGCAGTGTACGTACACACGCACGCACGTGTACGTGCACACGCACGCACACCCTCATAGCACGCACGTGTACGTGCGACACGCACGCACGCACGCATGCATGCACTGTGTACGTGCACACGCACGCACGCACGCACGCACGCACGCACGTCTACGGTGCACATGCAAGCGCCCGCACACACGCACGCACGCAGCGAACGCACGTGTATGTGCACACACGGACGCACGCACGCACGCACGCACACACTCATGCACGCACGTGTACGTGCACACCACGCAGCACGCATGCACGCACGTGGTACCGTGCACACGCGCGCCACACACGCACGCACGCACGCACGCACGCACGCTCATGTACTCTGCACACGCTGCGCAACACACACACGCACGCACGCACGTGTACGTGCACACGCACGCATGCAACGCACGTTGTAGGTACACACGCACGCACGCACGCCACGTGTACGTGCACTAGCACGCACGCATGCACGCACGTGTACGTGCACACGCACGCGCGCACGAACGTGTACCTGCACATGCGCGCACACGACGCACGCACGCACGCACGTGTACGTGCACACGCACGCAGGACGCACGTGTAGGTACACACGCACGCACGCACGCACGACGCACACGCACGCACGTGTACGTGCACGATGCACGCACGCACGCATGCAGCGCACGTGTACGTGCACACTCACGCATCACGCATGCACGCACGTGTACGTGCACACGCACGCACGCACGCATGCACGCATGTGTACGTGCATATGCAGGTACGCACGCGCGCACGTGTACATCCAAACGCCGCGCACGCACGCACGCGCGCATGCACACACGTGTACCTGCACACGCACGCACGTACGCACGTAGCACGCACGCTGCACGCAGGTGTACTGTACACGCACGCACGCACGTATATGTGCATACGCACGCTCGCACGCACGTGTACGTGCACACGCATGCACTCACGTGTACCTGCACACACACGCACACACCGCACGCACGTGTACGTGAACACGAACGCACTCACACAGCGCACGCAGGCACGCACGTGTAACGTTCACACTGCACGCACGCACGTACGCGCGCACGTGTACGTGCACACGTGTACGTTCACACGCACGCACGCACGTACCGCGCGCACGTGTAAGTTGCACACGCACGCACGCACGCACTCACGCAATGCACGCACGTGTACGTGCACACGCACGCACGCAAGCATGCACGCGCATGTGTACGTGCATATGCAGGTACGCCACGCGCGCCACGTGTACATCCAAACGCACGCACGCACGCACGCACGTGTACTTGCACACGCAGCACGCACGCACACGTACGCACGTATACGTGCACACAACACACACACACGCACGCACGCACGCACTGCCCACACATGCACGCACGTTTACATATACACACGCACGCACGCATGCATAATAATCGGTAATAATCGCTATCGGGGTGTTGTCGTGTAGACGCTACTATTCGCTAACTGAGGTAACGCTTAACTTGAGTTAGCTTAACTCGAGTTAAATTTCGTCGTGTAGACGAGGCTATACGGTTAATACGAAGTATATTTAAAATTTACGATTGTTTTCGAAAGTTATGAAACTTGATGAACTTGCAGAGTAATTAAGTAACTAGTCAGAATATTATTGCCTTCTCTCACAATATCCTTTGCTAATTCTATGTCAAACTTGTAAATTTGCTTTACACCAAATCGCATTCCCTATGTTATGAAAAATCAAATGATCCTACACGCGTATTCTGTAATTCCGATATGCTAATTAATACGCTACCTTTCTCGCTTCTCATCTATTTCTCTCCCTCTGTAGTTTTTCCATCATGATTTATTTATGTGATTCTCTAATGGGGCGACTCCCCTAAACGCAGTGGCTTTGAGGTTTTGAAAATATAAATAATAGCTAGCAATATATGGTGATTGAATTTGGCTCAGTATAAATAAATAACCCCCAAACCCAAGACAATGTATTACAGTGTAATTGTCAGAGATCTAGAATTTAAAATAGGATATTCACAGAACCATTATGTGTTTAGGCGTTTAGCAGCAATTAAGTCTCAATAACTAATGCTGTGTGGGTGTAGTAAAGATGATGTCTTGAATTTAGTGGGATTCCTGCTCTTGGTGTAGAACTTGTAAAGTTCCTTTTCACCAAATCGCATTTCCTATGTTACGGTAATTATTTCTACATAATTTCATGCATTCTCTAATTTCTATGCTAATAGTCTACCTTTTTCGCTTCTCATCTACCTCTCTCCATCTGTAGGTTGCCATTATTTACGTGATTTTCTGATGGGGCGACTCCGTAAATGTAGTGGCTGTGAGGTACTGAAAATATAAATAACTAGAGCACTCGAGAGCGCAGACCTCCGCCAAGGCAGCTCAATTCTCTCACTGTGAAAATTTTAATGTATTATTAA